TAGCTTCATATTAACTATTTTTATATAGAGGTAATTCTATATATCAAGAGGATAACAAATGGAAGATTTTAATAATCGCTAAATTTTGATCCCTGAAATCTTTGGTAATACCAATGTTCAAATCTGTAACATTAATACGTAATGGATCATCCGTATCGCCCAAGTGATGTCAAAACTATTATTACTATATTTTATTATAATTCTCGGAGATCTCCGGTAGGAATGGAAAATTTGGCTAATTTGTAAACAGATTAAAATGATTAGAGAATGATAAATAAGGTTATGGGTAGGTACATAATAAATAAAATAACAATAATAACAATTATTTTTAAATAAATTTTTTCCTTCTAAAAAAAAAACAATGAAAGTAACATTGACATTGCTTTTGATCGCTTTGTTCAGCATTTTTGCTGATGCTGGTATCCATAAGTATGTGTTGCGTATTGTAATTGTAATTTATTCCTCTTCAAAAATATATAAACAAAATTAATTATTACTATATAGGATGAAATTAAAAAAAATTCCAGAGACTTCCTCAGAGAAATTACATCGTTATTCACAAACTGGGGAGTACTTGACCCAAAAATATTTTGGGAACTCTCGTCCCGTTAATGAAGCCAATCAATTATTCGTTCCTGATGCTAATGGAAACGTTGAGCATGGACTCCCTTTGACTAATTTCATGAACGCTCAGGTAAAAATTGTGTAGTAATAATTAACAGTTTTATCATTGTTTGTTGTTATAGTTACTATTATTATTGTATTAATTAAAATTAGAATTAGAATTAGTTATAGTATAGTATTCTTTAAATTATACTCCTTTAATTATTCAAAAAAAAAACACACACACGTTTATTTATATTCCATATATATATATATATATGATAAATCATTGTCATTGTCATTGATGATGATCATAAAGAAAAATAATTTATGATTTGCATAAAGATATCATTGAATCATTCAAAATCATTGATATACACGCAAACCTTATTTTATATGTATAAATAGTATTTCGGTGAAGTTTCAATTGGTGAACCACCACAAACTTTCACTGTCATATTCGACACTGGGTCTTCCAATTTCTGGGTACCTTCCACACACTGCACCTCTATAGCATGTTTCCTTCATCGTCGTTATGACTCCACCCAATCACAAACTTACAAGGCGAACGGTACTAAATTCGCTATCAGATACGGTTCTGGAAGTTTAGAAGGGATTATTAGTAATGTGAGTGCATAATATCATTTATTATGATTTTTTTTTTATATATACGTTTATTATATTAACATAAATAATTTTAATTTGATTTTTTGGGGGTGACGAAAAATAGGATGTTTTAACAATTGGCGATATTGAAATCACAAACCTAGATTTTGGCGAATCTGTTAAAGAACCCGGGTTTGCATTTGCTTTTGGTCGATTTGATGGGATTTTTGGATTGGGTACGTGTATACATTAAATACATATATACATACATACATATATATTTATTATATATACATGTATATATTTTTAATTCATTTATTCCTATTAAACTTCTTTCCTGCTACCTCCAATTTCTTTCATTTTATAAAGCCTATGACAGAATTTCTGTTAACGGTGTAGTTCCACCATTTTACCATATGGTTAATCGTGGATTGGTTGACGAACCAATCTTTTCATTTTGGATTAATGATGGTGGGGATGAAAATGGTGGTGAATTGGTGTTTGGTGGTGTGGATGAAAGTCATTTCACCGGCGATATCCATTGGGCCCCAGTTAAAAGAAAAGCTTATTGGGAAGTTGCACTTGAAAGAGTCGTTTTTGGTGGTGAAGACGTTGAGTTAGAAAATACCGGTGCTGCTATTGATACCGGTACCTCACTTATGGCAATTCCAAGTGTTATTGCTGAATTAATCAACAAACAGATTGGCGCAAAGAAAAATTTTGCCGGACAATATGTTATTGAATGCAATAAAGTTCCTTCTTTACCCGATTTCAGCATGCAGTTCAACGGGAAAATGTTCACTTTGAGCGGAAGCGAATATATTTTACAAGGTAAAAATACTTTTAGTTTTGTTCAACAACAAACATTAAATGAATTAATAATTAACAAATTAATTATATATTGTTGTCTATAGCTCAAGGACAATGTATTTCTGCTTTTATGGGTCTTGATATACCAGAACCTCTCGGTCCCATTTGGATTAGTAAGTTTTCTATTAAAAAAAATGTTGAAATAATTTTTCTTTATACGTATTTTTTTTAACCAACTTAACAATTATTTATTTTAGTTGGTGATGCTTTCCTTCGTAAATTTTACACCATTTATGACCTTGGCAAAGATAGGGTAAATAATCATATATTTTTATTTAATTTTTGAAATGAATAAATTAGTTGACGATTTTTAATTTTAATTTTAATTTTTTTTAGGTTGGTTTTGCCACATCTCTCAAAAGTTGATTAAATCTATTGAACGAATCCAATTAATCAAAAATATGCTATTTTATAAATAAAATTATTTTAAAACATTAATATATATCTGTACTTTTTGGTTGGTTCTTTATTTGCCTATTAATTGATTGATTGGGCATGCACCAAGTAAATTATCGACTTTCTTTTAAATCATATTTATTTAAAACCATGAATAAAGTACAAAAAATCTTTCCCCAATACACTTTATCCCATGCAAAAAAAATTTCCTGTTTTAAAGAATTTGCTCATACATAATACAAATAATACGATTACAAGTAATAAACAAGTCAACTCTACTAAACAAAAATCCAAAGATTTATTTTTAAATTTTTTAAATTTATACATTCTCAAAACATGGGGTTCAACCTTTTAACAGGGGTGTCTAGGTGGTTGGGTGGTTATGTGTAACCCCAATTTTAATTAATAATTGGTAGATTGACTGTAAGAGGTTTAACCTTAGGATCGACGCCTCGAATGTTAAGGTTAACCCTTGTTGTAGATCCTTGGATTGGTTGGATTTCAAAAAATATATACCATATACACATACGAATATGTAAAGATTAAAACTTTACAAATTTTAACTTTATTTGTTGTAATAATTGCTTCAGCATAGTGGAAATTTGAAATGTTACGCTAATTTTTTATATATTTAAATCAGTTCGAATCAAATTATATATTAATATTCAAATCAGTTCAAATCAAATTGAATTGAATCAAAGTACAATTTGAATTCAATTCAATTCAAATTTGAACTGATTGAATCAAAATTGGGTGATTCAATTTGGTTTGAACTTCATTGATTTGTTCTCAGTTCCAAAGTCAGGTGATTTTATTGTCAGGTGCACTATATGTTAAAATAAATGGATCAGCACTAATGTCTTTTACAAATTTTAAGCAATCATTATCTCTTCCCAAGATAACCCTGTTATATAATGATTAATTTTTTTGCAATCTGTTATTTACCAGTAAAGTTAGTCAAAAAAAAATTTTTTTTTATTGAAATTTATATTAAATAATAACTAACCATAAAAAAATTTTTAAAAATTAAAACGTACTTGTTACAATCAAAATTATCTATATATTATAAATTACTTATTAAAATAAAATATTCTTATATAAAAAAAATAAATTAAAAAAAGGTGTGGAGTAGGAATTAATGTAATTTCTATATTATATAATTAGTAAAAAGAAATCTTTTGTATGCAAAAATAAATATAATATTTTTTTTTTTGAAATTTTTTTGGTTTTTAATGTTTAAAAAAAAAAAAATAAAAAATAATAAAATAACAATTAATTAAAAAAAAAAAACCATTTACATTAAAGTAAAAGTAAAGTTTTAAGCAAAAGAATTGACAGCTAAAACTTTGATGACAGGTGGACTCTTTTTACAATCAGCAGTAATGATAACATTAAGATGAGTAAGTTCTCGGATTATTTGAGAATTAGGAATAGTAGGATCTGAAACAATAGATAATTTTGACACTTCTGGTTGTTTGATAACTGTTGCAGAAGAAGTGGTGGCTGGGCAAGAGGTTTTATTAGCTGATGTTGATGTTGGTGTTGACAATGAAACTTTTTCTCCAGGTGATGAAACAGTAATATTGTTAGTAGTAATATTAGTATGTTCTACTTTAACATAAGATTTCTCATTGACAGATGTGGTGGAAGATTGTGTATCATTTCCGTCATTTTCAGTATTTTTATTTTTATTATTATTATTAGAAGTAGTAGTAGCTTCTTTTTCACTAGTAACAGCATCAGTTTTTTGTGTTTCTTCATCATATCCATCATCATCCTCACCTGAATTATTATCAAATAGTCTATGTTCATCCTCAATTGGAAGACTGGTCACATCCATCATTTCATAATGATAATCATCATTATCATCTGCAAGCAGTGCCTCTTCATCAACCTCCAAGCCCTCTTCTTCCTCTTCAGCAACAAATACATAGTCATCAGAAATTGCTTCTAAAGAGCTAATGCCTTGTTTCCAAACCAATGTTAACTCCATCTTTTCACTATTGAAGATGAATTTTTCTAGAGGCAATTGATCCAAATGCACCCGTTTTTCTATACCAAAATAAGGCACTAGAACATCAAATGCATGTTCTTTCACACCTACAACTATTGCTTCACGAATAACTGGTCCAGATTGAACTGTCAAGTTATTAAGCAGTACAGATAAAAATAAGTGACTACTTTGCTCTTGTGCATTCTTTGCTGCTTCTTTCTTAACATTACAATAACTGGCTGTTTTTTGTACATTATCTTTATCAATATAAAATTTCCTCTCTAAAAAAAATTTTTTTAAGAAAACAAGAACAATTTATCATTTATTCTTTAAAAGTAAAAACATCATATTCTAATTTAATCTATCTTTATACATACCACCAGATAAAGCAGCTTCAAGCATTCTATGAACAAGAACATCAGCGTAACGACGAATAGGTGAGGTGAAATGTGTATAAAGTGGAACATTCAGTGCATAATGTTGATATTTAATAATATCTAATGTGCCAGTACAAAAATACTTGGCTCTTTGTAATGGTTTAATAGCAAGAAGTTCCAAAACCTTAATTAATAAATAATTATAAAAAGAGTATTAGATTTATTGTTTTATTTTTATTAATATTAATATTAGTATTAATAGTAAATAAATAAATGATAACCTTTCTTGCGTCTTCATTATCAACTGTATTAAATGATCTTTGTAAAGCTGAAGCAGATGAAATATCAATTTTATAACCAAATCTAGTTGCATGTTCAAGGAAATCATTCTAAACAAAGAATAAAAAGCTTTGTTATTAAAAAATAACTATTTTACTGTCCCCAAAAATCTCTTCCTTAAAATAAAAAAATTTACATACAAGTCTACGTTCAATAGGAGCAGCATGACGTCTTAACAATGCTTGTTCTGGGAATGAACTAGAGATTTTCTGTGCCACGCTTATATTAGCAAGTAACATGAATTCTTTAACAATACAATTGGCTTCTTTATATTTGTAAACATGACATTCGATTGGATTTTCATTTTCATCTATATCAAAAGTAAGTTTGACTGAATTTAATGACAATGCTCCACGTTTGTGACGTAATTCGCGCATTTTTTGAGAAAGTTCCTATTTACAATACAAAAATATATCAATAAAAAGAATAGGCATATTATTTAATGATTATGGTTTAAATTTGAAAGTGACCACTTACATGGAATGCTCTAATATCAGCTTCAATTTCGCTTGCAGAATAACCATTGTGAATATTAACATTAGGATTTAATGGTTTTCCATCGATTATTTCTTGCACATCATCATATGATAATTTTGCACAAGATCTGATAATAGTTTTTGAAAATTGTGTATTTGAGCTTCTTCCTTCAGGAGTGATTGTCCAAAAAACAGAGAATGCAAGTCTAATTTATATATATATATATATATATTTAGTAAATTAATAAATGCATAAAGAATGATAATTATTATTATCATCATTACAGCAACAATGACTAATAAATTATTCAATCGACTAATCAATCAATCAATCAATCAATCAATCAATCAATCAATCAATCAATCAATCAATTAATCAATCAATTTACCTATCAACACCAGAAACTAAACTACACAAGTCTTCAGACAATAAATTAGGCAACATTGGAATATATTTTTGAACCAAATAAACAGACGTGGCCCTTTTACGGGCTTCGCGATCAAGTACAGAATTTGGTTTAACAAAATAACTAGCATCAGCAATATGGACCCCAATTTCATAATTTCCATCAGGCAATCGAGTACATGATATGGCATCATCAAGATCTTTGGCACCCGATGGATCAATTGTAAAGATACGAATTGAGCGTAGATCACGGCGCATCTCAATCTCCTCTTCAGGAATAGTCCATGGTGTTTGTGGCAGACATTTTAACACATTCTCATTGAATTCCTCAGTTGAGATATTGTTGTCTCTGATAAGAGCCTGTGTTTCAACATCTATATTACCAATTTCACCGATTTGTGTCACCAGAGTACCAAAGGGATGAAGAGACGTGATCGGCCAACGTTTGATACATGCAACAAATAATTGTTGTGCATAACTTTGATGTCTCTCAACAAAATCTGCTGGTGCTTGTTCGGTTGGAATGGCAATCAAAGGAACACGTTTATCGGTCTATATAAATATAGTGTAGATATAATGAAATTAAAGAGAATGGAATATAATAAAATGGAAGGGAAATAACAATTAGTTGGAATAACAATCAATCAATCTATCAACAATCAATTAATTACTTACAGGTTTAAACCAAACAATTTTAGGACGTTCAATTCTTTCATCCCTTTTATCATCTTTTGATTCTTCAAACTTTGGTTCAATACCATTTGCTCTATCTTCAGCTTCACGACGAGCTCTTTCAGCAGCCTCGCGTTCTTTTGTAGCAGAAGAAGAAGGCCGTAAGAGTGCAAGTGTACCAGAAAACATTTGCCCAGGCATTCTTTCCATGACAGCAACAACATGACCACAATATTTTGGTCGTTGATCATCTGTGATAATTTCATCATCTTCAAATAATAATAAACCTTGTCCTTCAACCTCGACATCATCTTTCTTTTTATCAACTTTTTTTTTATCTATACCAGCACTTTCTTCTTTCTTACGCTTCTTTTCTTCCTTTTCTTTTTTAGTTTGCCATACTTTTTCCGGGTCTAGCAATTGCACGGCAACTATATCACCCTCCAAAGCACGATTTCTATCCTTGGAACCACATATATAAATATCAGTATCAAGAGTTTCCGTGGTCACATAGGCATCAGAACGATTTCGTTTATTGATTCTTAAAACACCATATACAAGCTCACCAGCTTTGATGTGGGAGGGAAGAGAGGCCTGAGGAAGATAAGGAGCAAAAAGAGATTTTCTTTGTTGTTGGTTAGAATTTTGTTGACTTTGTTGCTTCTTTTGATTTAAGCCACCACCAAATTTATTAAGAGTTTGGAATTGATTGAATGGTTGAGCTAAGACAGAAAGGGGCGAGGCAGCTGAGTATTTTATTATTTATATTGATAATGAATATAATTTCACATATTTAATAAAGATATATATGTTATATTTATACTTACTTGATCTCCAATTGCTTTCAAAATTTCTAGAATTATTTCTACGATGACCTTTTCCATCAGCGCCTATTGTTCGAGTTTGATTTTTTTCAAGTTCTTTCAAAATATCCTTGTTATTATTAAGAGCAACACTATGTCTACGACCATGACTTTCTACCAGAGATTTTACAGGAAATATAGGAGGAGGGTTGGTATTAGCGTTAGCTAAAGTAGTAGTGAATAAATTAAAACCAAGAGATTGATGACGACGATGTAAATTTTTGGCAGAGGATTGTTGTTGTTGTTGTTGATTATGCTCATCATTTAATCTTTTAAAATCAAAAGGAGATTTTGGAGAAGTGGGATCTTGATCAGTGGATGATAATGATGATCTTCTATCAATACCACCATATAATATAACTTCATCAGAAGAAGAAAGATTCGATTTTCTATTATTGTTGTTGTTGTTGTAATTATTAGTTTGATTATTGTTGCTATTTTGATTATTGCTGATACCCTTTTTTCTTTTAGATCTTATATCTTCATCATTTTCAGCATCATCAGCATCATATTTTTTATCAGATTCTTTTTGAGCTTTTCCTCTATCTTGACTCATACGTCTCAAAGAAGTAAGAGTATCTTGTAATGCATTCTCGATGTTCATTGGTTTATTGCTACCGTCATCAGGATCTTGAATAGAGTTTATAGATGTTGACGCGTTTGCAGAGGGAAAAAAGAAAGATACCGATGCACCTTTTTTATGTTTATTAATATTAGGTTTTCTTCCAATGCTACCTGTGCTTGATTCATATCTTTTATGTTTTGAAGGGTCATTATAACTATTGTTGTTGTTATTATTATTGTTATTGATGTTGTTGCTATTGCTATTGTTGTTATTCTCAGAATCTTTTTTATTATTATTTTGATTTTTTGAAGGAACAGCAGGTAAATTTTTAAGACTAGCAATCATTTGTTGTAAAGATTCTAAAGCTTCAGATTTATTTTCTGAATCATCTTTACTAATTTTATTAGGTCTATTGTTAGAATTAAACGAGGAAGAGAAACTTTGAAGTTCTCCAACATGAGCTAAAGATTTACCACGGCGGTGAAATCCTTTCTCATTATTGTTATAATTATTACTACTACTATTATTATAATTAATGTTAAGTTGGTTTTGAATTTTATATTTTTTGAGGGAATCAGGTACATTATTATCATTATTATTATTATTATTATTACTACTACTACTATTAAAAATATTGATAACATTATTAGATTTACTATGTTCACTAATTGATTCAGAAACATCATCATCTTTATTTTTTAATTGTTGTTGATCTGTATTAGCAAAGAAAAGGATGAAGAATCATAATTAGATTTTTTTTATCATTATCAATTCAAATAATTGCAACATCAAAATCAATTCACTATTATCATCATTACCATTCTTATTATTACTTCCTTTAGACTCTTTATTGTTATCATAACCATTATTAAGAGGTTGTTTCAAGCTTTGACGATTTTGTTTTCTACGAGCTTGTTTCTCATTGTTAGAGTCATCAGGTTGGTCTATATTAGCTGTGACGGTAGTAGCATTGAAAGATGAGCTACTATTATTATTGTTAACAATAGAGCTAATACTTGACTTTGTTGTTTCACTAGATGAGGTAAGACCAGTAGCAGTTGAAGAGACCTTAATTTCGTTCGACATGGTTTATGTTCAAAAATTAAAAAATTAAAAAATTAATTTTGAAAAAATAAATAAAAATAAAAGAACGATAAATATATGTAATAGTAAAGTTTGTTTTAATTCGAACGAATTTTAAATAAAAAGCTCAAATTTCAGGTAAAAATTAAAGGACTGTGTGTATAAAGGACCAAACAGTTGTAGAATGGTGTAGAGAGAAAGAACGTGAATCGTAGCAAATTAAATGTCTTTTGTAGTAAGGTACACATGTAACACAGAATTTATAAGAGGTATTAATTTCTAAAATGTAAATAAAAGGAATTAAAAATTAATTAATAATATCATTTTATGTGCGCATAATTCTAGGTTTTTTATTAATTCGCAAATCATTTATCAACTAGGGAATTTTATATATATATATAGATACATATAAGATCGGCAGGGCTAAGATAACATAAAATTTCTTATTTATCAAAATGGCGACTATACAAATTTCAAACATATTAAAACAAAAAAATCTATTATTTTATGTTGTGTTATTTCATTATGATTCATTTCCAACAAAGCAGTAAGTCCCTTCAATATGGAAGTTCACATAGTTCATAAACGAGTACACTTATGTCATGGTGTATGCTAAAAGAGTAGTTTTATTTAGAAAAAAATTTATAGAAACAGTTAATAACAACATAGAAAATCGATCGACATAATAATTTTATATATCAAATATTAATCCAAAACTTTCTAATGGCGACTACCAACTTTCTTTAAATAAAAAATTTTTTTTTGGATTTCCATGTTTTTTTGCCATTTTTTCTATTGTTTTGGCATAGGTTATGTTACATAACAATTTAACAAATTTCTTTTAATTAGTAAAAATGTGCCCCGAAATTTTATTATTATTGAAAGTTCCCTGGTTGATAAATGATCTGCGAATTAAGTGCAACAATTTTTGTAGGAATCATCACTTTCTTGGGTTTATTTCCTTTATTCCCTTGGAATTCTGCAAGGAAAACATCCTTAGACTTGAACGTGTCTTGGAACGCAATTAAAAAGAAAGAAAAAAACTATTGTACAAATTAAAGTAAATAGATTTATCTATGTATATAATCAAAAAAATCGAAATGGAGGTGGACAAAGTGAATTTTAGAAACCCGTGGTCCGTCGTGTCCGAATTGTGTAATATTGAAAAATTTATACAGGGGCATTGCTAAGAAGGCCCAACCTCTTAAAAACACATGTGCCAAAACCCCCAAAAAACAATTGAAAAGGAACAAAGAATTATGTGCACAAAACAAAAATGTAAATTATTGTCAATAAAAACCTGAAGGTAATCTTACTTGGGTAGTTGGGTTTTTGATAACTCCACAACTTTAACGGGTATTATTTATATTTGTATCACATTCCCACTAATACATTTTACGTGTTAATAAAAATAAAATTTTATTATACAAAATAAAATATAACATGACAATAAAAACAAAAAAATCATTTGGAAAAAAAAACTTGTTGGGAAAATTAAAATAAAATAAAATAAATAAATAAAAACAGAGTTATTATTCGATTGTAAATAATCATAAAATATTCAAAATATAAGATCTAGTTCACCATCAGAAGACTGTTGAAAAATAATAATATAATTATTAAATTTTGAAAAAAAAAGATTTTTTTTTTTAAATAAATTAAATTTTTTTACTCACAGAATCATCCACATGATCTGGTCTAATAGATACAGATATGGGTATATGATGAATTAATTAATTGATTAATTTTTTTAATTTTTTTTTAGAGTAAATTAAACATCTAATTTGATACTTACGGATCTCCTAATGTTACTTGTAAAGATTTGACCCGATCTTTTAATTCATTTTTTTGCATCAAAAGTTGTTGAATATATTCTACAGCTATAATTAAATTAATTTATTTATTAATTATTAATTAAATAAGTTAATTAAAGTTAAATTTTATTATAATTAATTAAAAGTTTAAGTTTACATTTTTGTAAGATTAGTGCTTCACTACGATGACATTGACTAAGTGTTGGGACAATTTCAACCAACTGATCAAAGCCCAAACGAATGTTTTGTCTTCTTTTTTGTTCGGAAGCAATATGATTTGCTTTCTTCTCTGCTTCTGTTAATAATTCATGATGACCTTTCTTACCTCTTCCTCCACGATTATGCATAGAAGAAGTTGAAGTTGGTGGTGACGTTGAATTTATTTGTGATGATGGAGATGAATGTATATTATTATTATTATCATTATGATTGTTATTATTATTATTATTTGAGTCTGAAGTTGATGAAATTTTTGGAGAATTAGGTGCTGATGTTGACGAGGAAGAGGATTTGGTTGATATTGATGTCGTTGATGTAGGTTTCGTTGAAGAGGATAATTGTGATGACGATATAGAATTATTGTTGTTATTGTTATTAGTATTATTATTGTTGTTGTCGCTGTTGTTATTGGTATTATTATTGTTGTTGTCATTATTACTGCTTATATCATCAGGTTTCATATCAATAGAATTTTTCGATATTTGTCTTTTAGAAATTGTACGTCTTGGAAATTGTTTTGATTTTGTAGTGGGTGTAGGTGATCTTGGTCTTCTATTTATTGTGTTTATATTATTTGTGTTTATATCATTTGCATTTATATTATTTGTATTGTTATTATCATTACTATTATTAATATTATCATTATCATTATTGCTTGTAACCGGCTCAGATTTTATATATAAATTTGATTGATTATTATTATTACTGTTATTATTATTAAAAGATTTATTTTTTATCAGAGAGTTATTGTTATGAATAATTCCATCATTATGATATTGCGATTGCTGTTGTAGTATATAATTATTGTCATTATTATTATGATGGTGATGATTACTATTAGTGTGATGATGCTGAATTGGTAATTGTTGATAATGTGGCTGATGTGGTTGTAAAGAATATCCATTATTCGCTGGCGGTAATGACATAGTATTTGGATTATTATTAATAGGTTGTTGTTGTTGATAAACATATCCACCACCGCCACCACCACCACCACTACCAACATATCCGGAGTTTGATTCAAATCCATTATTATTGCTATTATTATTATTATTATTATTAATAATTGTAATGCCACCCATTCCCATACCATTAACAATACCACCAACACCACCATTTCCTATCCCTGGATACATTCTAGTTACTGGTATAGGTGCTACATCTATGTCGTTTTAATTTGTGCATGTAAATAATATTTAATATAATACAATGTAAAAATATATTTAAGTATTTGTGGATAGTTTTAAATAAAATAAAAAAACTATATAATTTTACCTTGAAAAGAAAGATTAGAGGCTGGGGGAGCATTGTGGTTGTTTGTATAATCCATCATATGACTTGGTGGCTCTTCGGTTGCAAGGGTGTTAAAAAAATCTGTAATGAACTTTTGATCTTGTTCAGTTAAAAGGTCATCGTGTTGCATTTGTTCTGGATATCGATACATACTCTCTGAATTTGGAAATGACATTTTTTTTCTTTCAAAAAAATATATTTATTTATTATTATAGTATAATACATACAACAATAATAGTTTTTTATTGTTATAGTAATAGATATATGATATATTTAGGTTGTCGTTGTCAAAAATAATATAAAAAAAGAAAAAAAATTTTTAATTAAATATGTAATGATTTTTTTATATACATAGATTATAGGGGACAAATGTCACTCACTATCAAATGATCGTCACACGCAATTTTTTGAATAATGGTAAGTCTTGCATATGCGAACTTACCCATTTCAATCCAATTTAAAGTGAACAAAGTAAATCCAGGGTTCAAAATTGCTTGGGGGATGTCCGATACCCCCTATGTCAGTAACACAGCAGATTTATAAAAATACACTCAACTGGACTAGAGGTTGGCACCGCGCAAAAAAATTCTTTAACCGGTGAAAATTAGGAGTTTAACCCGGCTAACCGGTTAATTTAACTACATGAAAATTTTCGAATCATTCGAATAATATTAATATTAATATGCACTACCCAATCCAAATTAAAATTTTTCTTTGTCTGTTCTATTTTTCTTTCGTAGCTCTTATAGTGATAATAATAGTAGTAATTTATTTATTTTTTCCACCAATAATAGTAATAGAGAGTTTTCTATTCGAATAAAAGTTGTTTGTTATATTCGTTATGAAGTTGAGCATCCAATTACATTGAAAGTTTATTCGAATAAAATGAATAAATTCGATTGAGATATATTACAAATAATTCGGATAAGAACTTGTATTACCCTAGTCACCCAAAAGAAAGGGTTCTAGAACAGTTGGAAACTCTAGCGGCAGTAGCATTACTCATCCATATTTATTTCATCATTACAGTCGGCTTGGTATAAGGAAGAATTGGTTTTGACAAAAAAAAACTTCACTATATCATTATATAAGAGAGTTTATACCTTATTTATATATATAGTGAAACTTTCCAACTTCATTATATCGTACTATTCGCTATATAGTGTGTTCATTATATCGAGCGCCAACTGTATAGATTATTTTTATTCATGTATTTATTTCTAGTTATATAAAAATTTGTAACACCAAACTTGATGGTTAACCAGTTAAATTAACCGGTTAAACGATTAACGGCGCCAACCTCTAAACTGGAAGATCCGTATATCAAAATAAAAAGTCTATGGATTGTACTCAAAAGTTTAAACTTTTAAAATATCATGTGATCCATATGTTGGATTTTAAAGATCACCACCATTCAATTCTGCTTTAAAAAGGGAGACAATTTATGTAAAAAAGATTTGTCTCGAATTTTTTTTTCATGGATTTTTTTAAATTTAATGACCTTTTGATGTAATACATCCACTTTTTTATTCATAGATTAACAATAGCCTTTTGGCCTTATAATTTTTCATATTATTAATTAGTGTTTGGATAAAGATTCATTCACAATTATATTTTCAAGTTTTTAAATTATAATTTCTTGCTCAATTCATTATCTTCTAATTTTTTTTGTTTGACTGCACAGAAATTTAGCAATATTTTTAAGTGATGAGTTCTTTTTTCAACCATTTTAAATATTTTAAGATTTTATAAAAGAAAATTATAAGGATATTTTTTAAATTTTCTGAATGTATTAGAGAAAGCCTGGTTGTGTGATTCTAATATGAATGCCTGAGAAATTATAGCATCAGAAGAATGTTGTGGACTTGTACTTCTCTTAATTTTACTATTCCAATTTACAACATAGTGAAATTGACAAGGTAAGATTGCATTGCTTCAAGAAATGGATGATTGTCACCCTTCCAATAAAAATAATCAGAGAGGAAAGCTAATGTAATTTTATCCTCTCCCATCTTAATCTGAAAATCATGTTTACATACCAGCCACAAAATCCTGATTGGAAGATTATGTTGTATACATCTATTAATGTTTGATATTCAATATCTTGTCCAAATTTTTTTAAATATTTCTTCTGCAATTTCAAGCCATTCTGACCTTACAAGTTCTAAAAGCAAGTTGTTTTTCCAAGGTTTGGGTCTTTGTGCTAATATTTTGTTTTGTCTGAAAATTGATTTAAATATTTTTTCAAAAAACTCCAATGAACTAATATAATGTGTTCTCTCATATTCAATGATACATTACATGCATGGACCAAGAATCAGGGCAAAATTATTTACAAAGTCAGGTATCTCTAGTGATATACCTTGACCTTCATTTTGTGTATGAAGCAAAATTATTTCTTTTCTTATAGATAACTGGCCTGGAAAATCAGCAACAATTGGTATGATATACTTTTGGGGTAAGCAATTAATGAAGGAATGTCTGTAATCATTTAGATAACATTTAAATAATCATCTAAATTTTTAAGATTTAATCCTTTCATGTTAACTAAGTGAAGATTCATCATTGATCTATCATTATGATATTGCTCTATGTGAATGAACAGTTAAAAGTTCTATTCTATCAAACTGATTTGTGGTAATCAAATTATTACTTTGCCAACTATATTTTTTTTACATTGTAACTTTTTACTTAATGAATCAATATATATATCTATCTGCTAAATACTATTAATCCACCAATCTTCAATATTCCCAGGATTATGGATTGGGTTGATATATTATTTTCTATTGTTGGTATAGCAATATGATATGGAGATGATAGAGTTGTTGTATTTGGATTTCTGTAACTATGCATTGAATGGCAATCATCAATGTGGAACAAAATAATTTATGTTTATTTTCTTCAAAGTATTGAACATTTTTTTTAAATGATTATCTGCTATTGTTCTTTTATATATCTCCACTGTTTTATAGGACACTGAAATACTAAGTCTTGACATTATATCAATAGCTTCAGAAGTTATACCACATAAATATAAATAAAGTCCAATTTCCAATTGAAGAGAATTATTAAGTTGATTTCCTAGATCCAGCAAGAGATTTTTTGTTATTTTCTATATTACTATTGGTCATATTGGATGAAAGGAAATATCAACCAATTCATCAACAATCCTTCCAATTGTGGTTCATTTTCTTCAATTATATTCTGGAACTTTTTAAGGTCTAATTCTATTTCCAATTGCAATTGCCTTTGTCTTTTATACAAAATTTTGACAATAATTTTAATTTTTTCTTTTAATTGATTTAAATCTCTAATATTATTTTTTTTTTGTATTTCATTTATTTTATTTATTAAAAGGTCAAGATTATCATTGAGTAAAGATATCTTGTCATCATAATATTCAACATCTATATTGGACCAATGATCAAATTTAATTCATTAGTTATTTGAATTTTCCAAAAACAAATTTTGTAAGCCATCATCTTCAATATAAACTATACCAAATTCCTCTAATTTTCTTTTCTTATTTTTATTTCTATTTCTATCTACTTCTAGCAAATTTGATCATAATTATAATTTTGAAATGTATCAGCACTTATAGCTTTTCTTTTAGCATATTCAGTAAATATCTTAAATTTATATTTATCAGAATCATTTTTATCACAACTGTTAACTTTGCATGGACCATTATTTGCATTCATTTGGCAATTCAAAATTGATTTTATCTTCAAACTACAAGTCCTATATATATATATATGAAAAATTATTACTATTAAAAATAAATGAACTGGCCCAATTTTTTTTTGTGATTTCTGATCAGCCATGATTATTTCTATTTTTAATTTCCCATTTTTTTTGTTAAACAATAATAATAAGACTAATTAATATTTTGTTATTATTTACTTATAATACATTGTCTGTTTGTTAAAAGGAAAACTATAATTTTATGGGATTGTCTAGTTGGAAAGTATAAGTTTTTTAATGACTTTATTTATTTATTATTATTGTTACTAACTATTGTTATTAAATTTTATTAAACAATCAATATTCATATTAAGGTGAATGAATGTGTTGATTTTTTCTTATAAAAGGACTTACTTGCTGCAATCAATGAAAAATACTGCTACTAAAGTTGGTGTCTCTAACTGTTTTCACATTTTCTGCAACTACAGGTTTTAAAGCTCAAGTTGCAACCTTTTTTGAAACTGTCTACAACTGTCTGCAACTGTCTGCAACTATAATTATGATGGCTTAGTATCAAAAATGGAATCACAACCGCAAAATGGGATTTATTGTTTTTAAATAAAATCATTAATTAAAAAATTTTTTTTTGATAAAAATAAATTTAGTTTTATAGTGATTGAAGTAGCTGACCAACCAGAGTTTGCAGACAATTACAGACAGTTGCAGATGGTTGCGGCAATTGCAGACTTACAGCAGTTGCAGCATTAGATGTCAATATTTTTTTGGGTTGCAACTTCCTAGTTGCAGAGACATCTTTATCAACAGCACAAAAAGTGGGCAGCTGAAAAAGCATCATCTAATTAAAATAAAATTTTCTTTGTTTTTCTTTTTTTTTTTCTTATTTATCCCTATTTTAAGGACAATAAATTATATGTTATTAATAAATAAATATAACCATTACAGAGAAAATGTAAAAATTTTTATATGAAAACTTCTTAAAAATCCACAGCTGCTAAAGAGTAAACTTTTTTTTAAACTTAAGGCAAAAAAAAAATGATAATATGTTTTCTTCGATTTATTTTATTTGTGGATACAAAAAAAAATTATGTAGTGGAACAAAAGCATAGTACAACTTTTCATCCTTGAGAAATTTCCCCACTGATCACTATGTATGACTCTCTGATTTATTCGCGGATCGTCAATTAATTATTAATTATAATAAATCATGTGATATGACCATTTTGACCCCCGAAATTAAATCGTTTTGACTTCATGTATTAGTATACACCAACAGAAGAGACCGTCCTGTATAAGGAAAGGATTTTCACAATTGATTTCAAATTTTTTTATACAGTTTAAAATACTTTTTTACAAGGGTATTCCATAGCTGTTGACTAAATTGAGATATCCATGATTTAATTTGTTGAAGGGAAGGAATATTTTCAGCTTCTAATTCATTATTTTCAACAAGCCTTTGAAGTTCTTTTAACATATCATCAGGAGAGTATTTTTTACTTTTTTCTATATTACCAGCCAAAAACATGCTTTTCAATTGCTCAATGAAATTTAAATTAAGCTTATTACCACCCTTCTTTCCATACTTTTGATTACTTTTTAAAGCAAATCCTGGTTTTAATCTTTCATCCAATAAGTTTTTTAAATTCATATTATCATTTAATAACAAAGAATTATTTTCTAATCAAGATCACTAAATTGATTTAATCATTCTTTATTTACAACAGGATTTAAATTCTTTCTCTTGAAGCTTAGTCCTTACTTGAGTAACAGTCAACCTCTGAATTGATGGATTGATTTCTGAAGGAATGCTCATTTTCCCATTCAGATTGAGGGTTATTTGATTGGTGACTATAGCATTTGGTTAATTAATGTTATTTTTTTTTTACAAGTTTTTTAATGTCAGAGATTGAATATTTTTTGGTTTTCCATAGTTGGGTATTTCATAGGCTACTATAAATCCTTCTTCATCACCAGTTGGCCACATGAAAGTAAAATAATAGAAATTCCTTGAATAATGGCAACAGATACTTTTTTACTAAGGTCTAGTTATTTTGGCAAATGAAGTGCCTCAAACTTGTATCAAAACTCAAACTCATATCAAAATTCAAATTTGTGTCAAATTCAAAATTCAAATAAGCATATTATCTAAAGTGTTTCAAAATTAATTTGTGCGGTATTTATTTTTGTTTGTTTTTAGTTATGTCTGATGATTTTGGCAATGACCTATTAGAGGAGATTATAAGTTAATTTCATGTAAATATGTTTGCAAGTTTTTATGTAAAAAATTTACTGTGACATTTGTGAATTTTTTTTTTAAAAAATTTCATATTAAATTTCCCCTGCATTTTTATAATAAACTGATCGACATTTCTCTGATTCATAGATGGATCATCAATTAATAATTTCAAATTATTTATCTTGAGAATCAGTTATCCAAATTTAATGAAACGTGGCCCATTATAATAGTCTCATAAAGTCAATTCAAATAATGGTGATTTAATGTCCATAGCATCAATAAATGGCAAGTTATTGTATGTTATGATAAACCAAAATATCTCAATAATCAGAGATTCAAATTACATCTCATTAGACTCATCTCATTGAAAGAATTCGAATGGTAGCTATTTTATTCAAAATAGCCAGATATTGATCAAGTCATGAGGATTTTAAGTTTTTGATTAATTTTCCATATGTTCAGCTTGTTGTATGATGTAATTTCGACCATTTCGACTTTTGATTCAACTTTTATCTCCCAGATCAAAATATTTTCAACTTTTGGGTTTCAATTTCGACTTCATGTATAGTGGGGTGTTGTGTACAGAATGATTTTTTCAATTTTGTATAGTTGACTCGGAATCAGAAACATGAAAATTTTGCATGCATATTCTACAGGACCTAGGCTACAAGCCATATATACTTATTATGTGTGTTTTTGCATTATTG